CCCCCTCGGCCGCCCTCCCGCCCGCGGCGCTTGCCCTGCAGAATAAACGGGCCAGACCCAATTTTGGGCTTTCTAACCCCGGGCCGGGCTGCTGTTTTCAACCTCGTAGTGCAAGGCTGGAAACTTTGACCCCCGCCTCCCGCTCCAGGCCCAGCATCCAAGGAGCATCGCCCCCATCCAGCCCGCAGGGATGGGGGCTGTTGTTTAGAGCCCGGCGCAGCTAAAATCCCCAAAGGCAGCGAAAACGTGCGCGTGGGGGAGGAGAGGCGGAGGGAAAGCGCCGTGGCGGAGGTTCGCAGCACGAAAATAACGCCCTCGGCTCCGGAGGGGGAGAGAAAGAAAAGGGAAGAGATCGGCACCGAGATCTGGCAGCGCGCGGCCTTCCCAAAGCCTTCGGAAAGGCGGCGATAACAGCCTGGAAGCGGCTCCCAAGGGTGCCCGGCGCCCACCCGCGGCCCCGGGCACCGACGGAGACCCGGCCGCGCCGTCCTCCCCGATGGGGAAAAACCGACGGCTTCAAAGGGCTCACAAACCAGAAAACCGAGAAAAATATACTTGCTTTAGGCTGCAGCGTTTGTTTACACCATTTTGATGTTTTCCTCTGATTTTACCGTTAAAGCCAAGCTGTTATTAGCTTGCGTTTCAGAAGTAAAAGCCACTTTTAAACAGAAAAAAAAATAGAAATGAATTATTCTGGCCATTTTGAGTCTCCACCTTCCTTTCCAAAGTGATTTCAGTTTATACGTGTACATATGTGTATCTCCAAACCAAGCTTCCCATAAATAATGTGTTTTTGAGAGATTAATACCTTTTCCACGGATAAAACCAGTTAAATGGGATCCAGAGATTGGTTACTTGAGGCTCTTGCTCGTATCGCACCGAGCCTGAAGCGAGCGGAGCCCAGACCTGCCACCGAGGAGCACTTTCCTTCTCCATTAGAAAGGAATTCGCTGTCCAGACTTTGGCTTTTCTGGGCCTCGTCTAAGCATCATTATCTGGGTTCAATTGAAGTGTAATTGGCAACATGTTTTCCTAGGATTACACTTCATTATGAGCAGAGCGGGGGCCCTCAAACCCACTTCTCCTGTAACCAGATCCGTTTTCCAGCCTGTGCTCCGGGAGAGCCGTTTCCAACGGCCCCCAGCGAGCCCTGGGGGACGGCAAGGCCGGGGCTGAGGCCGGAGGCCGCGCAGGTCGGCAGGGGTGGATTAAAAGGAATTCGTGTCGGGATGGGGCAGCCAGGTGCAGAAATCGGGATCCTCCCGCCCGTTTTCCTGCTCCCAGCACTCGGGACAAGCTGGATAAGCCCCCTGAGGCCCCAAGTCAGGAGCTGGGGACGGAGATCTCTCCCCTCTGCTCTTCCCCTGGGCATTGCAAGGGGATTTAGTAGCAGAAATGTCTCTCCTGCCACGGCTGGAAAACCATCCGCTTCGTGGCGAGACCCCATCCGTGCACCCACTTTCAGCTCCCGCAGCCTGATCCGGGAGGGAAGGCGGCAGGGAATGGCCAGGGTGCCACGCGGCCGTCGAGGGCTGTGTCCTCGTCCCCGTGCGGTGGGAGCCCTCCGCAGAGGACGGGTGTCACGAGGACGAGGCCAGTTGGCTTCCCTGCTTCGGACTCCAAGGAATACGTGAGCTCCCAAAGATGGATGTCCCTCCGCGGCAGCAGGAAAAGCTCCGCGGTGCCAGGGCAGAGGCTGGATCCCTGCCAGGGGTTGCCCAGCTCTGCCTGTGCCAGCCCTCTCCGGCACGGAATGACTCCAGCAGGAGCGGGGTCCGGCTCCGTTCCCGCTCTGGGAATCGTCCCCGGAGAGCGGCCAGCTGCGAAAGGCTGCGGCAGCTGGAATGTGGGAGGGCGGCAGCGCTTTTGGAAAGCGGGAGGCAGCGAGCGGAGCCGGACGGCTCCGTTACCTCCCGGTGAACCGACACCTCGGCCTTCACCCCCGGGGCGCCCTGTCCCGCGGACCGTGACGGTGTCACC